GCTGTTGCTGCATACCCTCAGTAGTATGGTGCACGAATCAGTGATTAGCTGGGACTTCTCCAGGTCAAGTCGGCATTTTAACCTCCTCAACAAATCTATTCCGATAAAGCATCTAACGGTATCCGATCAGCAACGATAAATTCATGGTTAAACGTTGTGCAGGCTACAACGACGGGGGCAACGATGGAACTCCGAACAACTAGTGGTAGCCCGTTGGCCGCGGTAAGGCGAGCATTACAAGGTTTTCTAACACAGTTTGAGAAGATCCTACTCACGCTGGCCCTGATTATGCTTCTAGCTGCGCCAGTATCCACTAGCCCCAGTAAGCAAATCCCAGCTATCGATAATTCTAGTGTTAGCGACGACACAATCGAGTTGCAAGTAAGAGATGGTATCACAAATTATGTCATGGCATGCTCACCTGGCGTGTTCCTGTAGCGAGACGATCCGCGGTATGACATTTGTCTGCCGGGCCAACGAAAACCTTATTGTGCTAGTCGTCGTGGGGCGGGATATCTCTGAAGACGGCCAGGGTATCCAGTCATTCTTTCAGGTAGGACGCGTCTATGTCGTGTGTTCCCTCTTACAGCAAAACAGCCAGATGTAGGTGTACCCATCGCTGCATCTATTTCTTCCAACTGGTCACCTGTTTCCAATGCTTCGTCCAAACGGCGGGGAGGGTATCGCAGGAACTCCCTTTTAATAGACGGCGTTTGAATGCCCTCTAGGAGTTGCCCTGAGACCAGTTTTTCACGTTCGTCTGGCGTTTGGTTCTCGTATGCGATATCGACCATCCTCTGCAGCTCGCGAACGTATGTGTGGATGGTTTCCCCCGGATATTGGTAACGTGCATGGAATGCCCTGCGTAGGGGCGCAGGTAGACCGGGGCGGGCTAATAATCGGCGCATGGCGGAAAAAGTCTCGGTTGTAACTTCTTTCTCCAAAAGTTTACTGTCTGCAACGATATCAAAGGCCTCTCCCGAGAGCATGCCGGCGAGCACAGCTGCCTGTTGGTTGGATGGGAAATGACGCAGATAAAACTGGACTTGCTTTTCCCACCTGGGGTACAGCATCCCTAGGGTAAAACGTTCTGGTGGCGGGATAGATGGCATGCTGGTTGAAGTTGGTGAAGTGGACATTTTTTGCAAAGTCCGTGATAACACATCGAGCGAAGCGGCAAGCTTTGCCGTCGCGTCATTAGCGTTAAAATTACTTTCGTCATCGGCTTTGTCGGTTGTCTTCGGCATTATCTTCATTAGACCAGTGATACAGGATTCCTGATGAATGTGCCTCGGCAGGGTCGCCAAAATTGTAGTATACAAGCTTGGGAGAACTCCGGAGATTGGAACTGGAGATTTATTAAGCAACACCTAGCAAACTACAATAGAGGAAATAATGTTATAAAAAGGAAGATAAACGTTACAGTCAATCTTTTTCTGCTTGCACTTCTTCCGTTAAAGCACACGACCAGTTTCCTGCAAGGCGAATGAGAGCGCAGCGTAAGCACCAGTTCAAAGTCAAGCAGCGCGCGACGATAGTTTCCGTTCCACACTACACAGTAATGGGTTGCAATGACCTTGTAAGTTGATTTAACGAAACACCTGTCAGGGTAACATTGCAATACTGGGATATATACAGTAGATAATATAAAAAGGATGTTCGGTGAAAATGGCAACGGCCGATTTAAAAGCCAGAGAAGCGTCTATCGAAAGTCTACTTGGATTGGCCAGTATGCACAATTTAGCAGCATTGTACCGTTGAAATACAAACGAAACTTAGTTCGCTGGCTGCATTAATGCACTAATAAGATTTGTAGTCTCGAATCTCTGGAAAGCGAAACGCAGCATATCCTTAGGACATTATAGCTTAATGGTTATCCCACTCTCTTCATTCGTAGACATTCTGTGATGCGTGACCGACGAGAAATCACTGTGACGACGCCGAAAAAGGATGTTTATCTTTCTGTCCCTTTTAAAAGTGATATCACCTTTGAATTATTGAGCAGGCGACTCCTAAATGCAATACTTAAGTCGTTTCCTGTTGCCTACCTATATGTGGTTAAAGCAACTGCTTCTTTTATTACCCAACGTCTTAATGATCGACTCCCAGTCATTTCCACATCTTTTATTCTATATCAATTTACTTGCAACCGTGGTACAAGACACATGGGACACACGATCAGACACTTGGCCAAACGGATAGCCGAAGGTTGCCCAACAGCATTATGGAAGCGAACAGTCGAGCATATCAACAGCTCTACATTGGAAAGGTTAATCCAGAGCGGGCATCATGTAGTTGCCTCGCACGCTTTTAAAGTTATGTACGTTGCAACAAAACGTTCGCCAAAAGGGACTAAAAGGCGCATACTAATGACGTTTGAGGCTATTGCGATCCGGTTAGTGCAACTGGAACTGTGTAACCAGAGAGGGCTGGTACAGACACCACCTTTGCCCTGGCCTTGATTTCACCGTGAGCTCCGCTTACTTCGACCTTAGGCGGTGACCCCGTGACCCCTTGTGCGTAAGTACCTGAATCGATTGGAGCATCCGCTCAACAGACAAAGCAGCTTGATTGGACTGAATCAACCTTAGCCCAGCTATCACAGCTTGTCGCAATTTTTATTACTTATTGTACACGTATTATTCGGATAAATTAAATTAAATTAAATTAATTAAATTAAATTTCTTCGCTGCTTTGCTATCAAGAATGTATATTGAATCCGTTTTCTCTGTGTTGTTTGCATGATTGGAAAATGAAGGTGGCCCGACGCCTGAAGCATTTAGACACCCATCTTCTTAGCAGACACCGAGGCACTAGGCGCTTTCGACTGCAAAACAGTAATACTTCGAAATGCGCTGTCTCCTCTAGATAGTCGCATCGTTCAGCTATGAACGTAGATTACAATCTTCTGCTTATTCTGTCATATGCTCAGTCTGTTGCGATTAGCAGTAATATGCCTTGTCCCCCTTTATGCGTTCCTACCAAAAGGATTGAGCGCGCAGATTGAACACTAATTTGGAGTGATTTTGACTTATATTGTCTAACAAAAAGGAATTGCTTATCAGAATCCAGAACGTAACGCGTCCTTCGAGCCACATGCGTAAATGACCAGCCTTTCGATCCGTGTTAATTTAATTGCACGGAATTCATTAGGTCAATTTCCACCTAGTCGGTTATCAATCATGTTCATATACTAGGACAACACTGTCCGTATTGCTAGTTTACGTGGCAAACTTTTGATGGACTTACACATTCGCTTATAATTGGCCCAACCAGTATCAAAGTAATGTCACATACGAGTTAAGTTTGGTTTAGTCGACCACAATGAAAACTACCAATAACGATAGGCAGACTATGGTTGCGGAGGTTTTGACCCCATACTGTGGAATGGAAATGGACCGAATAAAAACCTTAGCAGATGAACAAAGTCGGACACGCGTTTGTGTTGTTCCAAAGGTATATTGTAATCAACAGCAGGAAACATGTGTTTGCCTTCTTCATACGCTGTCTGAAATGGAGGAAATATGCCAAGCCTGCTTACAACGAGTAGAATAATTGAAATTAAAGATTGTGGATATATTCCTTTCACTAATAATAATAATATGTTACTAAGTACTGTTTATGTTAGACGCTTGGCGAGTATAACCATGACATGAAAGTGCCTTTGTTGCAAGCCAGCAGGTAAGAGGTGGTCTAGTATAACACAGAAGACAGCTGCCGTTTTCTCATCATTTTGCATTCACATTTCGCCTTCGGTATAGTTGGTACAGCCGTTCACCGTGCGTTTATACTTCATCCTTCCGGTCACCTCCGGCTCGGTCCTCCATAGGCAACTGTGACAACGCCGTGCAGCTCACAGTGAGATGTATGTCATGCCCACCCGCCATCCAGCTCCCACTCTTAGAGTTGGTTGTGGTGAGAAGATTCAGCAGCCTCCGAAGTAACGGCTTTACCTTTAAGCTCCCCCCTCGGTCTATTATGAATCACGTGTATCCCGGACGCATATTTCATAACGATTAAAGTGTGCATCCATTAGTGGCTTTGAGATAAGTAGAGTAGCTGTTCTCAGCGTGCTTTCAAACACTAGAAACCTGTTTTTTATAAAGCAATATAAGTAGTTGTGGAAAACAACAGGCCCGGTTTTTCCCAAGCATTGTCCTCTAAATCTAAACAGAAATTCAAGCCCGGAGGGCAATGATAACGCAGTTGTTATGAACAATTGGTTGCTATTCGAGTAGATCGGATTTTGTTTGTGCTTGGTACTTAAGTGGAAGTTGCACCATGCATTGCAACTACATTTCTGATACATTCATTAGCTTTAATGATTCGAATTACCAACACATCTCTCAACTCTCGGCATTTATACACGAATATTTCAAACAAGTTCGAAGGCGGTTGTCGATTGAAGGGCTGAAAGTTGTCAGTTTTATGCATTATCAGGAATTAATTCTGAATATTCACCAGCCAAAGGTGTATAAAGCAGTTTTTGAATTGAATGCTGTGCCAAAGGACTTATGCATGTGGATTTCATAATTTGCAGGGTTCGTCTGAGTATCAGTCGGAAAGTGTGCTTGAGACCGATGTAGTTGATTACACCTACCACCAAATTCAATGCCAAATTTTCGTGAGAGCGATCATATTGCCAACATGAAACCAATCCACGTTTGTTACCTGCTATTGGTCAACTGAATCTGCCAATAGTATTACAGCGAACAATTTTACAAGATTACTCGCGATTACAACACGTGGTTTGCAGATATTCATTAAAAACCCATCGAATTGTGCCAAAGCACAGAATCCCAAAGGGTCCAGTTGCGAGGACCTTCAAGTTGACGCTGGCTGCACAACGCGATTGTACAGGCGCAGGATTACTCGCTAGTGTCAGTACGGCAAACGCGTCTCGTGATTAGTGTGCCTGCATGAACCTTTGGTCTGAGCTGAGCTCAGATGTCTTTAACTGATTCAAGGTCACGGAACAATGCGCGCACGCCTGTACGTGGATGAGAAGGCTGATGTTCGCATGCAGTCGTGTGCACTCACACACTCAGGCTCGTCAACGACTGGGTTCAATTCGCGGGTGCAACACCCTGCCGCCAGCAGAACCTGACAAAGCAAACGCAAGCCGAGTGATAACAAGCCACCAATTTATTCGCTTATTCATCCGCTTGTGAGTGCATAGCCAGCGTGGATATTGTCTCAGGTACACGGATCGATCGGTTATTTCACTCATTCGGGGTCATTTACATAGTCATTCCGTCGGTGGTTCAGCCTTCAACACTGACCTAATTGCGGACTTAGCCGCTGTTGCAGGCACTAAGCACTTCGGTGAGTTTTGTGCTCGTTTTATCGATCAGGTTGATACATTTGAGTTCATACGTATCAATGTCTCTAACTAAGTAGCATGGTTAACAAACTTTAGGCTTGGTACCAAGCTCACTTCGGATCACGCCACAACACAGCTAGAGTTCTGAAAACTTAACAGTGCAGCCCAAAAACGAAAATGAATTCGTCGATTTTCTTAGGCCACCCGTTTGGCGAAGTAGAGTGTACTACTTGAATGACATCATCCAATCTTACAGTTTATTTTTCAGAGCTTTGCAAGCTAACTACCGATATAAGTAAAATAAATGTTGCCAGCACACTAGTCTCAACCTCTGGCTATCCACCATTGCTCAGACCCAGCCTGTCAGTTAGTGTCTTATTAGGGAAGGCGCGCTACGTCGAAAAGATAACGCCGTTTTTCCATTATTCGTATGTAACTTACCTCTCTACTCATGTGGTATATTCCCCATAATTCCGACTGCCTTAATTATGCTTAGGGAGTAATTTTTAACTTAGGCGAACAAGCATAAAGGTGGAAATTCGTCGCATCTAAACTCGCTCAGACAGCCAGCACATGCCCGGCAAAGCACTGTATGTCTGTTTCATCCTTTCGGGAATCGTCAGCATCGCGCATTCCATCGGACCCTCGTAGGGCTCGAACCCGCAACTCGACTGTTGCCAGTGTGTGGTTCAGAGCACTGAGCTACGGCAAAGACCATCATTAACAATATATTAGATATGATTTAGTGCCGCTCACTATGCACTGATTTGCACCGTACTACCGTGAAGAGGACAAGCTAGCCCCCTCACCAAACTCAGTGATCTTAACTACAGACTGGCAACCGTCAAGTTGCGGTTTCGAGCCCTACAAGGGTCAGATGAAATACGCGCTGCTGACGATGCGCAAAAGGATGAAGCGGCAGTACAGTACTTTTTCGGGTGTGTGCTGGCTGTCTGAGTTAGTCTAGATATGACAAATGTTTACCTATACCATTCAACTCCCCTTACTACACTTCCGCGAAAAAGCATATGTCATCATTGCTACCGAGCTCAACAACGACTTCCCAGGGCCACCAAAACTGACCGATCGGGTAACTCAAGCAGTTTCACGATAATGCATTACTAAGGGCTATCTGGTGGATAGCACTATACATTTTAGGTGTTGCATGACGAACTTCGGCTACTGAGACAACGCATAATAAATGTGGTTAAATCGACGAGCATATGTGCCCTATATATTTAGTTTCCTGTAGCTTCAAAGTTTGGTCTTCAAGGCGGTTCCGACTTATCTTGCCACTTGTTTGTTTGCCATGTCACTAATGGCTATTAATTGACATTGCCTAATGATAGCATCGAATTATACACATATTTAACTTGTGTACTGTCTTGGCTGTAAGTCAGTTTAAATGGTGGATTATAGTTATCCATCAGTTGGAGTAAAATACAATGTAACACTGGTTTATGACGGAGAAAAAGCGCAGGCATAAAATGTTCCGTAGGTTGGGAATAGGAGAAATTAATATTCGAATACTAAGCGGATCAACTAAAATTTGTATCGATGAAACAATAGAGAAATGATGTATAGGAGGATTGTTTTTGGAGTGAGATAGTAACTGGCAAAAGGAAACAGCAATCTGCATACATATAGTATGAGGTCGCTTAGCCCATTGCACAGGTTTACGTGCGTTACTGTGAACCGCAATTCCGAAGATGCTCGTTAGCCTGTATAGCTCCGGAATATCCGTTCATGTAACGAAATGTAGGGCGTTCTATTTGATATACTTTGTTTCTTGATAATAACTAAGTGGGGGCACAGTCAACGGAGTTGGCAGAACTGGAATGATAAACAACTTCCTCGACAATCTAGATGACTGTATTGTTGACCCAGCTTTAGGCTATTGCCACTGACGTTGGTGTTCGGGTTGGTATTTTGTAGGCGGCAGCACACGTGACTGGAGCCACTCAGTATTTGGTAAACTTATATGAGGTCTGCGCATAGCTGCTGGTGGCGTCCACTGAACACTTCGTGTGTCCTCAATCATTTCTGACACGGAATGTTTCGCAAACCCTTGACAAATGTCGTTGCTTGGCGTTGGGAACTTTCGAACGCTGCAAGGTCACGCTTTAGCCAAGGTTGCTAAGCCTGGGTTACGTATTCGATGTGAATGCGCACGCAGGCATAGAGTATCAGGGAGAAGATGGATGCATCCAAACTCATGAATGCCTTCTGTAAAAGACCAATATGTAGGTTACCACTTTTTGAAGCGGACTCTGACAGTCTGGAACGACTGAGATCACACTCCTGTGAGTTCGTCTGCAGATCGTGTGTCACATGTTTGTTGGTGTAGGTGTGTCGATGACGGATGTCGCCAGCGCGGTCCTTGTCCACAGTGAACAGCAGTAGTTTCCTCACCGATCAATGCCAGGCCTCATCGACGTCGCACTGGGGATCTCGTGGTAGTCCATTCATTTGATCACCCGCTAAACCTTAACCTCATCCGCGAAGAGAAGAAATGCTGAAGTGATAAGTCTTGATGGATCGTTAATGAAAACTAAGGGCGGGCAAGGCCCAACTACAGAACCGTGCGGTATGCCGCACTCTATTCGAATCGGGTCGGACAGAGATGTTTGGACTCTAACCTCTAGTTGCTTCTCGCAAAGACAGTTATTGGTCTATCTTAATACTGGATTTCCGATACCGTAGTGCTGAATTTTGTGAGGGGGAATTCGATGATCTACGCGAGCGAAGGCTGTTGAAAACTCAAAGTAGGTAACATCGGTTTCTATCCCCTCGTCGACTCTTGCGGTTCAGTTGTCATGTGCTATCAGCAGATTCATGGTACCTAACCGAGGTTGACGAAAGCACTGCTGATGTTTTCAAGGCGTGGCGAAGTACCATGATACGGCTCTGCCTGAGCAAAGGGGGTTCAAATAGGCTGAAATGAGAACACAGTTCGATGGTTCTTCTTCCACCCCTCTGGGTAAAGAGACTGGATAAATTAGTAAGCTTGTATTTAGAGAAATTGGCAATGCACGAAGAACAGCAGTCTTGAGTTCAACTGTTCCCCAAAGACTGCCGTTTAGCCGAGTACAACAGCATGGCGTTCATACCTAGTTATATCTGTGCAGTGACTAGTAAGTTCTATAGTTCTAACGACATGTTTGGAAATGGATGGCATTAGTTTGTGTACTGGAATGCGACGCGAGACGGAGAATCAGGTAGGAAAACACGCAGTAAACGACCAATACCTAGGAGGTACATTGTACCCGTCGCTATAGTACAACTTTGTGTCAAATGTGGAACTCTGCTCCAGTATTTAGCACACCTGCTTATTAGACCATTGCACTTACACTGTAAATTGCGTTCGACCATCTCCGTTACTTGCTCAACGATCTACAGTCTCCTCCTTAATACTAAAGTTTGTCTCAGATTGATGTGGTACTAGAAAGTAGATTTCAGGAGATATGCATTCTGTCTGTACCCGAAGATTATTGCTAGCGTCGTAGCATAGTGGTTGTTCAGAGCAAGTATCATAATTACAGCTCATGCTCAGATACGGTTTTCAACTAATGTAGAGACTACTGGCTCCTAGTACTTTTTCACGGCCTGCAAAGTAACTGGAAAGAGAATCATACATAAAGCTTTTATTCTTCTGAATGTACACGTTGCTAATTAACTTACAAATTAAGCTACACTTATGATAATGATAATATGTACATTTCTCAGAAATAGGAGACACGTTACAATGAAGCTGATCTAATCATTATGTACGGGTTTCTTTCAGAACTGCTATGAGAAATTCGTTGTTCATCAATTGCGATGAAATTTGGTTAGGTTTGTTCCAAATCATCAATCAAGTATCTCCACCAATAATGCATCGTTCACTGATGACAACCAAATCGTGATAACGTCGGAGTAGCTAGAGTCCCGAACGCCGTAAAGCGAAGAAATCCACTGAATATGAGTGGATTTAAACTCAAGTATTTCTTATGGAATTGAAAAAACTTACGAACTTGAAATTGTAGATGATGTAGCACAGTTAGGGGGTTCACGTGCACCAAACTTAGTGTAGCATAGGTCTAGTACGTAGGAAGATTTTGTGCGCATTACCGTAGGCTGACCAACGGGAATTGTTTCAGCAAATATGTTGTAAGTCTTTGTTAGAACCGGCTTTGTGTCTAGTAGGTAGGATGCAGGTTGTTCAGGGAGACTGGGCTGTATAATAGGGAAAAGAACGCAGCTAGTCCGATTGCGCTTGGAAATTTGGTTAGGAACCTAATTGGGCCAGGTGAAAGTCATTGTAATGTTTACCCGACCTGAGTAAAATCATATCAATGCTATCAATATGTCGGTTGTTTTAATACTGAATGATAAAGCCACGTACAGCCGAAGTGAAATATTGAAGGATAAGGATGGTCAAAGTCGTAATGAGAAAACCTGATTGTCCAAACTACCAATGCGCCAGTGGTTCCATAAGCAAATGGTAGGTGTGCAAGCAGGTAAAACAGAAGTTGAGGGAAGATATACTTAAGTGGATTGAAATCCAGTCAAGCAATTTGTCCGTGTTTCAACTAACACATGATAGCAATGGAGCCAAATAACATCAAAGCGAACTATAAATAACCCGTATGGGCCGAGCAGAATAAAGTAAGTCCTGGATCTCTGATCCATTTATGCGCCAGTGGAGTCACTAGCCAAGAATGAGCATTCGGGTCAGGTAGAACTGGAGAATGCAATGGAAGACTAAAGTAAATTACAGAACGGCAGTAATATTTTTGGTCCGACTGAAACGTGCGTTCGCAACTTTCTGTCTTTAGCTTATCGCCTGATGAATACCTATGGAGCAGCACAGAAGGGTACTTATACTGTCAGCATTTCATGAAAGTCCTATTCAGACGTGCTGTTATGGATATTCACCGACAATATGCTCCATATTCAGGAGTACAGACGATGAAAAAGTTGCCGCTCTGTTTTCCTTTGCCCCTGTTTCACTACGAAACAT